ACCAAGTGCAAGGGAACCTCACTGCAATACGTTACCGAGATGAGATACTCCGTCCATTAGCACTACCTACTCTGCAGCAGATGGTGCCACATGCAGTGTACCAGGATGACAATGCCCGACCTCATAGAGCGTTGCTTGTCCAAAACTTCATGCAGCAGGCTGGCATCAACCGAATGGACCGCCCGGCCTGCAGTCCGGACTTGAATCCCATAGAAAACCTCTGGGATGAGCTGCAACGTCGAGTCAGAGACAACCACACCCCTCCAGGAGACGCGCAGCAACTGTTTCAGATGCTGTAGGCAGAGTGGCAGGGGACGCCTCAGAGAGTATTCACCAACCTCATGAACTCGATGAGGAGCCGGTGTACTGAGTGCCAGGACAATCGTGGTGGACATACTCATTATTGAAATCATCTGAACTGTTTTGTTTTTGTTGCAGTCAGAAGTTAAAATAACTTCGAAACCGCTTGACAATTTTTGGAATTTGGGATTTTAACCCCTACCAAACTCAATTAACTTTTCAAGCAAGTTAAAATGGAATAACTTAATTTTCTTTTTTGTTACTTGCTATACACATGTTGATTAAAATGTGTACCGAATTTCATTGCGTGTTGAGGTTTGCTTTCGAAGTTATACACTTTTTCTCAAATGTTCCTTAATTTTTGTTGACTAGTTTAGTTATAGTGGAATCAAGATTCTTGTGCTCAGTCAAGCTACAAAGAGTAAGGGTACTGAGATATTTCCTTTAATAACAAGTAGACATAGTACAGTAAATCCTGCCTCATTAGTGGAAGGCCTCATGAACATGGCAATTTTGTCCTTCCCAAGTGTTCCACAATGCTAATGCTAAGACTCAATGGGTTTTTTTTTTGGGGGGGGGGGTTTGGTGTTTTATGGCACTCGCAACTGCATAAGGTCACATGAGCGTGCGGAACACACCAAACATTTTCAGTTGGTAGGAAATTTTTTAAATTTTGCCCCGGTGGTTGCCTACTCTTTCGGTTTTGGACAACTAAGGGATCTACTTTAATTAACGAGCGCAACTTGCACACACGACCTCCCGAGATTATGCGCCCTTATCCGAGAGGACTAGATTGTGTAAATCTTATCTACCACAAGATCAGGGGTGAAGCTGAAAGACAGCAGTAAGAAGGAGCCAGGGAGTAGCAGTAGAAAGGCTGCAGAAAGAGTGAGGAGCGTAGAGGAGGGAGCAAATGAGATGAGGGGGTGGAAGCAGAAAGTGGACACGAAAGCAGACAGAAACAGAACATTGTTAGAGAGCAGGAAAATGTGTGATAGGAGAACATTTTAGAGTTAGAGAAGAAAGTTTTCCCCATCGCTATCCGGATTCAAACCCAGGACCTATTGAATGAGAGGCGAGCACCTTAACCTCAAGACCACGAGAGCCACCCCCCCCCCCCCAAAGATCTAATTAATGCATAAATTAAAATATTTTTAAAAACTGTTCGTTGTGGCGTTGGTAGTCAAGTCGTTAGGCTACACTGGATTCGTATTTGGTCGCTTTTAAGCACAAGGGGGCTATCCCGAAAAATACTGTTTTGAGAAAATCGAAGGTAAATATTTTGGACCCTTCTTCAGTTGTTTTTTTTAAAGACACGAGGAGTTTTCTGTAAACACACCGATGAAACCAAAATTTCTCCAAAAGGTAGGGCAATGCCCACTTTTGATGTAGGTCAAGATTTCTGGAAACCCCCGAAATCTGGGTTAGCCCGCTTGTTCTTTTAAAAGCGACCAATTGTGAGGTTGTCGGTTCGGGGGTTTGAGCCTCAGGCCCAACTTCTGAGTCCTTGGGGAAGACACATTACATGAATTTTCCTCACTTTACTCAGGTAGGAATGGGTACTGTACATGTACCCAGCCATAAACAACGAAAGCTTCGTTGAGCTGGCCTTGTCGTAAGAATGCCCGATGTCAGAACCGCAAAGGTCTGGATCGATGACAACAACAGAACCGCAAAGGTAGCACATGAAGTAGAATCTAGGTCTTTCCTGTATTTTATTATATTTTGTACTGTCCTCAGGGAAGCATAAAGTTGGCGTACCAAAGATGCACTATACAAAGACACTGAAGACGTCTCTGAAAGACTTCAACATTACTCTCCTGGCTTAGGAGAGCCTAGCTCTTGACAGACACTGATGGAGAGCATCCAATCACAGAGGGCAGCAAATCACATCAGGCTCCGTGAATTAGAAAAGCTAAAGCTAAGACTAAGAGAGAAGCCCAAAGGCTGTGCACATCCACACGTTGAAATGAAACTTTTAAATGCTAAAAATGAGGTAAATTCTCTGCCAGTATAGGTCTCACTGGCCATAGCACTTTAGCAGCAGATGCCACAGGTTGTGACCTCTTACTCTGAGTAAATCACACCTTTTCCCTTAATGTACGTCCATATTACAGAAAAATAGTTTGTGTAAGTAAAAGGAAAGGAACTGTTGATTGTAGCATAAGTACACATGTACTTTTTAATCAGTCTGGGCAAAAAATGAGGAGTAAAACAAACGCTATTTAGTCAAAATGTACATATACATGGTTCTGTTCTTGATTGTGAAGATGGAAAAGGAAAACAGGGGTCTCCTACATTTCAATGTCAACGTGGACTAACATTAAGCAGCTAAAGTCATTTTGTTAAAGAGGTACTGAGGCATTTTCAGTCTACTACATGCTGTTGTTTGAGTGAAGAGAAGAACATCGACAAAATAATGGTAATTTAGTGCTGGTTTAGTTTTAGTTTAGTTTTAGTAGAGGCTTTACGGCGCTCCCAACTGCGTAAGGTCATATGAGCGCCAGAAGATTAGAACTGTTGTTACAAGAGAGTAACAAACATAAAAAAGAAGAAGGGGAGATAAGGACGATAGATGTTTGACAGGAAAGAAGAAGCAAACCACACCAGAGCACCTGCCAACCACCCACTCAGGGAAGAGCATGACAGACAGACAGACAGAAATAACAGAGTGAAAGTAAAAAAGTAGGACCTACAGGTGGTGCCCTCCACACCCGCTACAACACACACAAACTAAAATGCAACTTTTTCAACACCAGACCTTAAAAATAAGCCCAATCACATATGACATCATGACACATGACATACACAAACTCAAACATGAAGCAGGAAATAAGGTCAAAAACTGGGTTCATGAAATATTTTATTTCTAAGCACTCAACAAAGTAAGGGAAAGGGGTGTACCACTGCTGTGCTTTTTAGGCAAGGATTTTATAACTGCCTGAATAAAAAGTGATGGCTATTATTATTTAATGTGCATGATGTATATTACAATATAGAAGTTGTAAAATATGGTATAAACCTGAAACTATAAAGTTTAAAGACTCAAACAGGTACAGTTGCACATGGATATCACTTAGAACAAAAAAAGAAAAAAACAACAACCTACACAATTTTTGTCACAAAGCAGTACTAAACAGTAGTAAACAAACCACACTGTGAAAACAGCATCCCGATGCTTCAGGCAAGGGAACACTGTGTTGTTTGAAGCATTTCAACAGAAAATCATGTATGTATCACATAGAAGAAAGGGAAGAATTCGAAGACCGTCAAAATGTAGTTTTTCTTCACAAGCAAAAAGAGTCGTCTATATTCTTTGGCGAACAATGGGCATACTTTACACTTGTTCCAAGGTATATTAATATATCAAGTACAAAGAAATATATGCCTTTTGAAATTTGTTTTATAATCTTTACATAGAAGACGTAAATTTGGTGTACCGTAATATTTACTGACCTCATAAACTCAATAAACCAATATGATCCACACAAGACAATTTCACACTGAAGTACAATTGTTCAAACATGTAGAAGATTTTGAATTGATGAGAGATAAAGTACAGAAGAAAAAGATTAAATTCACAACATGTTGTAGCACATTCCTTTAAGCCCAGGTAACATTGTATTTGTATCTCCTTTCTTTCATTTTAAAAAAAATGCCAAAGCATCCTTTTTTCCCCCTCAAGGCACAATTACATTCACAGGACTAAACTTACTGAAATAACTTACTGGAGTATACTTAGATCAAAATTTAAAAAACATCAACACTCATAAGCTTTACCCTATGCATAAAAAACATGCTTCAGCAAATGCAACATAGTTACTGCGTTCACAGGTAAACTAAACTACTGGTAGATTTTGTGCTGGTGCAAACTTGAGTATTGTACACATTGCAACCTTTAATAGCCTGTGATCTTACGACAGTAAGACATAGAGTTGACTGAACGTGCTACTAATACCACCAAAAAAAATCTTTAAAGGAGAGAAGTACAAAAAATAATTTGAATTACAAAGATGAATTATTTCATGAAATTAATGTTCAATGAAACAAGTACAATATCTATTATGCCTCATTGTGTACTATGCAGTCGACATGTTTTGGGCACTGCCTTGGTTTTTTTTCAACACTCTAATGTGATACCATGGTCGTGCAGTACATATCTTGAGAACAATTCATGCACAGGCAACCAACGAGTGCATCTTCTTTCCACATCATCATTTTTTAAAAACACATTATGTTCATGAACACAAAATGAGAACTTTTCTGACACGCCCTTTTGTAAATAAAGCTCACAGAATTGTAGCATTGTCTAACAATTAATATATAAAAAGAGATATGTAGAAATTCCATAATAATGAAAATATTTTGATATACAACGACAAATTAGTAAAGAAAGAAACACAGCAGAACTTTAAAAAAAATTAGAATGCTTATTCAAAGAGAAAAAAACAACAACCTAGAAATGCAGATCCACGCAGGTGTCAGCTATTTGTGCCATGACATAGCCAGGACCATGATGGACTGAACACTACACCGGCTGAGGAGAACGCAAAGTCTGACGAAAACTCTGAATCAACTCATACTATAACAGCCAAATAGGAAAAACACAAGGATATTATATACGGGTAATAATATTAAGTTTCAGTCACAATCAAAATTGGGAAAATAAATATATGACAAGAAGGTTTCTACGGTAGCTCAATACCGAAAGGGCTCGCTACGACAAAGGAAGTTACCCAATGCCTGGTCATCAGGAGTCAAATCCTTCCTCCGACATAACCAACCCAAAGACAGCCTTTTGATTCCAGGACCACGGAAACAGTACCCACTACTTATTCATGTCCGGTCGGACAAGCAAACCTGAAGACAGACTTCTGACAGAAAACCTGAAAACCGAACCACTGCAACTACGTAAGCACACCGTATTCATTTCTCCCTCAGTCTTATCAGGTCTATTTCTAAAAAAAGCACATTTACTGCATTCTTATTGGTTTGTGCTAACCAATTGATAAAAAGACTTGCAGACCCAAAGTGCTGTCCAGAGTTGCTGAAATGACACTTAAAAAAACAAGAAAGGTCCTGCATCACTTTCTGAACTGTATACACAAAAAAGCGTGCTAGTCTCTAACACACACATACATATATACAAACAAACAAAAGCAATAAATCCCTATAGAGACCATAAATATTTGTACGCACTAAGGTCCTCTAAAGTATTGGCTTTTACAAAGAGTTTGTATTTCTTCATTTCTTCTGATTTGACACGCTACCACAATCATAATATTATAATGTAAATGATTAGATGAAAATGTAATAAATTACAGCTAAAAATGTAAGTTTCATAATTTATTTCACAAACCCAATAAATGAAAGAGGATGTAAGTTGATTTGACTGGAAAGAATTTCCACCACTCAAAAGCACAGCTTCATGAGGGTAAACAAAGACAGGGAGGTGAAGAAAATTTTGGGAATACATGTACATATCATGAAGAAAGACAGTTTAATACATAATTTAACTATCTTAATAATTATCGTGTAGCCCTACCCTCCATATATTTCATAGCATTTGAGTATTTATGAGTATGGCAACATTTTGTTACGAAATATCACAAACTGGCCATACACATTTTCCACAAAACATACTAGGGTATATAATTATGATTTCATAAGTTTTTTGATAATGCCCCCCTTGTAACGAGAAAAAGCAATTGGCTTTCTCCACATAAAAGGAACTATTTAAATTCTTCAAAAATTTATGATGTATTTCATCTCTGGGCTTTATAATAATAACTTGCATCTCATTCACTTTACATCTCTCTTTTAGGCTTCAGCTTCATCAGGTTTTTACTTCATGGAAGAAGGATTGCCCAAGAGAGCTGAAATGTATTGCATAAGTTTATATTACATACTTTCTGGGAAGACGAATATAATTCAATTAAGCAGAGATTTGTCTTTGAAACAAAAACAGCATTTCCAACATTTCAATTTTGAAATTTTGCACATCAAACAGAATGGAAGTGTTAACATGTCTGATGGGCAAACTGGTGTAAATGTATGGATCTTCTTGTTATTTTTCACATACTGATTTTAGTACAACAGAGGAGTATTATATTATTCTACAGCAAATGCCACAAGAACACAGTAAAGCAAAAGCACCTCTTGACAGTTGCATACAAAATAAATATTACTTTTTATCACTCAGCATTCACAGTGCCACTACAAAAAACAAAAAAAAAGAAGTAAAGATAAAATACAAAAGTGTAGAAGACATCAAAGATGAATTGATTAAAGTAAAATATGTCATAAAAATCTCCTCTAAAAAGCTATTCAGTAACGTCATTAGGCATATTATTCACTCAATTACAGTAAAGATGTCACACTTTCCAAACAAAACGAACACTACATTTGTTAGATGTTAGAATGACAATACTGCAAACCTCTCACACTCCCAACTAACATTATACAGCAGGGTTTGTTTATTAAAAAAACCACCCTAAGGTTCACTTCAAGTTGACCTCGAGAAATTTTAAATACAGCAACATCTAAATCAAAATGCGTCATCTTCTGGCTTCCACAAGAAAAGGTGTACCCATCTTCAGATTAAGGAACCCCTTGGGCTTCTAGCAAAGCCAAGCAGAAACCAGCCTAAAAAGCACTTTCATCCTCTTGAAGGAGGAGGAGAAAAATCCTTCTCCAAACAAGCACGGCTTATCTTATACTTATAGAGTCTACTTCAAAGGAAACATTCTAAACAGAATAGGGATAGAAACTAAGTTTCTATTTACGGAACGTATCTTATCTACTGTCTCTCCTTTTATTTTTCTAATCCAGAAGACTGCCATAAAATATAATTCCTACAGCAAAAACGTTTTCTGCAAAGGCTCTCTTTCTGCTGATCATTTCAAGCATTTTTCCACTTCTCAACCTTTAAAACAATCCACAGCGACTCTCTTGCCATATTCTCAGATATGCATACCACCTAACACACACACAAAATTATTTTAATATTTATGAACATGAAAGTTAATTGGGTCAAAGTAGCACATGCATTTCTTTGGTTCCTGTACACTCAAAGAGCAATGAACATGACTAGCTGAGCGCGGCTGTAAAGTCCATCAAGTAGTTCCACACAGGAGCAGTGTTAAGGCACATGAGGTAATACACTTTCTATAATTATTTTATGGTTGGCACCTTCCAATGGTAGTGATGTAAGTGCTGATCTTCAGTCCAGGAGTGTTTGACCAGTTGACTGTAACAATAGGACACAAAACAAACAAAAATAAATTAGGCCAGAATTTGCATTTTTAGTTCGCGTTTTACAGCACTTGCAACACAATAAGTATATATATTTATAAGAGCTGGAGATTAGAGGCATTGTAAGAGAATAACAAACACAAAAAAAGGAGAAGAGATAAGGACTATAGATGTTTGATAACAAAGAAGGAGCAAACCACACAAGAGCACCCACTACCACCCACAGAAATCACATTAGTTCACTCCTATAAGTGGCACATCATTTTCTTCAAGCTTGTGAAAGTAATGCAGGAGCTTCTTTATCAATGAATTATCCCAGAGCATTAGCTTCAAGCAGATACATCCCTAACTCTGCCTTGACTCCAACCCGGTGGGAACAACAAATTGACTATCTTTACACCATACCCAAGTCATTAGGTCCGAACTAATCATTCCATTCATTCAACAGAACCTGCCAAAAAATATAGAGTTTCGTTCCATCCCTCAATCCAAATGTCAATGTTTGGTACAGAAAAATTGGGTCTTCCATATAATATAGGCCTCATCCTTTAAGATGAAGAATATAAAATGGTTTATCATTTTTTAATTTCATAAAACTTTTCTGGTGATAGAAATAAAGTTCAAGTTCTTTTTTCTAAACGATATCTTAAAATTGCCTTTTGCAATAAATTCCTTAACACTAACACCCTTAACACATATAACAAAGTCATCTACCCCCCCTCCCCTCCATTTATGCACACACACACACACACACGACTCCCATTCTCTCAGCTTTAAATGGCAATCAGATAAATGATGGTTGAACCTGTCCAAGACGACAACCCATTGCCAAGAAGAAAAGTTGTCACCTTATACAGGTGGTCTTCGTAGATAGTATCATTACAATATATAGAAGGGAAAAAATGCAACTGCAAGGGGATGGGGAGGAGAAGTGGGGAAATGGTCATTTGTACAGGTGATTGTCTTAGGCAGGTGGTCATTTGCACCCGTAGTTGTCTTATTTTTTTTTTTTAGTATGGGGTTTTACGGCGCTCGCAACTGCATAAGGTCATATGAGCGAGTAGTTGTCTTAGACAGGTGATTGTTAGAGCATGTCTTCAACTGCACTTACATTTCCGTTGACTGGCTGAGGTGGGGCACCAAACGCGTCGACATTACCAAACGGTGACGAGCCCTGTGGGACGGTACAGACGTTCTTTACAACTGACACTACTTTCTTCACACCTCCGTCTTCCATCACATACTTTAAAAAATTAATTAATTTATCATTTACAAAGATATTCAAATTCAACTGTAACATTCTCCGACACTTCATTCTTCTTGTTTCTTTCCCATTCTCAATTTCAAACACATATCAACATCTTCATTCCATAAATTGACAAATACCGATTTTTCAATATGTTTCCTTTTACATTTATCTCTTTAATATAAAAAACATAGAAAGGAAAAGAAATGTATTTGATCGGAAAAAAATTAACTAACTCTATTTTCACCAGGAAGTTCTATTTGTACTTAATAAATAAATATGAATTAACAAGCAAAATAAAATATGAGGAAGCAATTTTTCTTAAAGCTAGGAGACCAAAAAAGAACAAAAACAAACACCAAAAAATATCCTACAGCTTTTCAGTGGGCCATAAATCCTAGATATATATATGCAAGTCTACACGTGAATGCAGAAGGACAAAAATCTAAAGCATATCCTTTACATTATACACAAGTCTTGGGTGAAGCAAAAATAACAAAGCTGTTGAAACAAAAAGAACGTTAAAATGTATTTATTTAAAATTTTGGTCTTTTATGTTACCAGCACAAAACAAAAACAAAAAAACAAGCTACTTGTTAACTATCAAAATTAAGAGAGGGGCGAAAAAAATACCAGTTTCTTAGAGCAAACAATATTGCATATGGTTAGAAAATAAAAGCATTACTAGAAAAATAAAGGAAACATTCTATTTAAATGTAATCAAAAACGTGTGTGTGTGTGTGGGGGGGGGGGAAATCTGGGGGGGGTGATGTTAGGAGGGAAGCAGTAGGGTACACAAAGGGTTCTCAGCAGAGGAGGAGGGTACTATTAAGGAATTTTGCTTTAGCAACTAATAAAAGGGTATAAAAAGATCATGAGGGTGTATAAAATAAAAAAACAAATGTCTCTTAATACCACAAGGGACAAAAGTATGGTTTCAGAAGAACACTGCCAATATGGAGAGAAAAAAAAATCACAGAATACTGGACGTGTTCAGCAAGCAATGAACTATAGTGTGAGGTTAATCTACAAGCTTCTCTGCATGCTGTGCTGGCTTACATACCCATTGATTCAATAGACCGATATGTCACAGCCTTTCTTTATACATCAATATGAAGTGATAAATTGTTGCATAAAAAGATAAAGTGGTTTTTGAGTAACTTAAGAAATTTAACATTTTGCAGTCACACAGCCAGCAGTACACAATACCCCATCTGGTCAACCAGCCAGGAGAGTGACTGCAACGAACTTCTCAGGCCTGGCGCCAGGTGACTGGACCAGATAATTTTAGTGACCCCAAAGTTTTAAATGAAAGAAAAATAGTAAGTTAACATCTCCCACAGTCTTGGAAATTCAGAGCATTCTTTGGAAAGATTTCACAGTTGGATCATTCCTATAAGCTGGAAATTACACAGACAGTCAAATGCTTAAAAGTTGATGATGACTCAGCTGTACATAAACATCAGCACTCTACAACTCCACTGCTACCAATCCTTCCCACAAGTACAGCTTATCATAAAATTCAACAGTTAAATTCAGTATTCCAAACCGTTTTAAACTTCAACACCATATGCTAAAGTACTGAAGCCCGAAAATAAAACTTTCAATGGGTACTGTAATGTCTTCAGTGCTACACAGAATGCAGAAAACATGTTTCTTTTAGCAGAGGTTATGATGTTATCATTATTCTTCAAAGATACTCAAGCAAGATGTTCAACTCTCCAAAAAATACAGAAATATAAAGAAATGAGACGGAAAAAAAATACCTAAAGGAGCGTGAAGAGGAAAGCCATTAAAACAGAATTTGTTCTTAACCTATTAGTTTTGATTCCAACACCAAGCCATGCCAAAAAAAAAAAAAAAGCCATTACTCCATACAAGTAAGAAAAATATACCACAAGCAATTGTAAAAGTGAATCTACTTGCGGAATCAAAATTAGTGATATTTAAAAAGTTACATTTCACTGCTCACAATTTGCAGGGGAAGGAAATGTATTATTGAATCAGATTGTGAAAACAAAACTGTTCATTCAAATAAAAATACCATAAATGAAAAAAAACAGACAAACTGACTACCACTGTGTTATGTGCAATTACTACAAGGCTGCATTCTCCAAGCAAAGACTTACCCATGGATCAGTGTCATTTGAACTCTTCGGAGGTAATTCTCCATCAAATCCAGATGCAAACGGATCCCATTTCTCAGCATTATTACCAAGGGATCCATTGAAACTGTCCTCGAAGGGATCATTCCCAAATTTGGCAGTGACCTTAAAGCCTGGGGTCAAGTGAAGAGGAAGACCAAAAGGATCTTCGCCATCACTTTTTGTGGCTGGGGTGTCACCAAAGCTCGTGTCTTTGGACGAATCAGATTCTAGAATAGACTGACTCGAGGAGAATGGATCACTCTTGGGAAAGCCAAAGTTCTCGGGGGAAAAAGGATCACTTGTGCTGGGTATGCTTTGGTTGTTGGACGATGATGATGATGTGGATGATGAATGGGTTGAAGAAGATGTTACAGTCTGCTTTTTAGAACTACTCGATCTAATTGGTACACAGAAGGGGTCCGGGTCGAATGGGGAATTATTTTTTAGAGGAGTGGTTTTTGTTTCACCGTTTTGTTTTGCTTGTTTGTCTCTGGAGTCCCGATGACCGGGGGCGGCACTATCACCACTAATAACCTTAACAGAACTTTGATCTGACACTTTGCTTTCTACACTCTGATTAGAGGAGGAATGACGAAGATGAGGGGACGACATTTCTGAGGGCAAAGGTGACGCGGTGGAGGAGGCGGATGACTTGGGGCGGGGAGGAGGAGGAGGGGGTGCATTTATATTCGGGAGTGATGGGAGGGGTGGAGGAGGTTCATCAGGTGAGGGAAGCATGAAAGAATTGTTGATAGAAGTGTCACACGCAGAAAAGCTGGAATCTGGTGATTCTGAAATTTTAAACTGTTTTATAGATGTACTGGGCTGGTGTACCGGTGTTCCGCCTACGGAACGTGAATTACTTTTGCCCGGTCTGGGGGGTGGGGAAATCTGTGGAGGGTTGGATGATGGCATTGATGATAAAGGGGGTGAGAAAAGAGGGGAAGCGGGTGATGAAGAACTGGAATTGGGTTGTGAATCGGGAGGAACATTCGGGGTGAGATTTCGACGAGGAACAGGGGGCGCCACAGCGTCGGTTGGGACAAAGGTATTGGTCTTTTGGGAGGTCTGCTGGCTTGGCTGAGGAGCGGGTGGCAAAGACGGAATATGGGAGGTGTCAAACGGATCCTCATCCGCCTCATTAGAGAAGAGGCTTCGGGTTTTATCGGCAGCGATAGAGTCAACGTCACCAAAGGGATCACTTGCCTGTGCCGCGGGTGGAGGCTGCTGGCCAGTCGTTTCCGTCTTCAGCTGGTTCATTGACTTTTTCTCCCCGGCGCTTATCTGGGCAAACATGTCTTTCGGCGTCTTTGCAGCAGGGGGCGCTGTCTTTTTTATGTCCAGCAGATCGCCGAATAGATCTTCTCGTGGAGACTTTGACCTTGCCTTGGTTTGGTCCGCCTCTCCTTTTCCGTCTTGCGCGCCGCCGTCCTGGCGAATGGGCATGAGCAGGTTGGGGTTCTCCTCGCCAAACGCGTTCGTCAGCTGCTGGGGCTGCTGCTGCTGCTGCTGGGCAGCAAAAGGGTTGGCCATCACACCCGGCTGAGGCTGACCCATCATCCCATGCGGAAGGATGCCCGGCATCATGGCCATGGGTGCCACGGGGGCTCCTGGTCTGGGTTGCTGCATGCCAAAAGCTTGTTGTTGCCCTCCAAAGGCCTGGGTGCCAAACGGATTGGCAGTATGGAAACCACCAGCAGGGGGGACTGCACCTGGTTGAGCCCCAGCTCTGAACGGATCGTTAGCAAATGGATCTTTTGTAACAGGCAACCCACCAGCAGGTAGGCCCTGAAATGACACGAGCGAACAGAAAAAAAAACAACATTACATCCTTAATGCCATTCTACAAAAAGATGATAAAACAACAATGTGAATTCTGAAAATTAGTAGAAGGATTTTACTTTTTCTAAGCTCTGCATGGGGAGCACTCAGTACAAAGTACAATAACTTTCGATGATGAAGCACAAAAGTACCTGGATGTTCCTATGTGCAGTGAAAATCATTAACTTCTTATCTTCTGAAATCATGCATACTTAGAACCAATAAATAGGCAAACAAGAATGCATAAAAATGTCATAGTTTATTTTCAGTCTTAGTGGCCTAAACATACTCTGAACGAGAAATATCAACTGTAATTTACTTGCAACGAAAATGCATGTTTTTCTTTCTTTTAAAAAAATGTGTATATCAGAAATAAATAAAAATAAAATATTTCTATATTTCATTTCTGTAAATGACTTCAGTAAAATAGAGATAAAATGTTAGGGGACCCCCACCCCATGTATAAATAAACGCAAACTTCACCTGTGATGACCCAATCTCATGATTTGACTTCTCGCTCAAAAGTAAGTTTGCAGACGCACTCCCAATTCTTGCAGAGTGTGTCACATTTGTCCAGTTTACTACTGTTTTACTCGGTTTACCACTTCGTGATCCTAGAGTTGCAAAGTTCTATCTGCTCAGTGCCTAGTTTTGAGAAATTTAACATCAAAAAGTTTTAGCTTCACAACACGGTTAAGCTTTTTTTAATGCAATTCTTTGAATATCTTGAAAACGACTCCGAATTATCTTACGATTTTGATAGAGCAGATAGAACTTTAAGGTATCAGACGTCATGATCTCAATAACTCAAAACGGCCACAAATGTCAGATAAAGTTTTGTCATTTTGAGGTAGCAACTTGTTACTCACAAACTGAGGCTGGCCACCAAAGCCTTGCCCGGGGAAGGGAGTTCCGGGGAATCCTGGCTGGGGCTGTTGGAAGCCTGGGTTCATGCTGATGTTAGGGAAGGGACTGGTCTGCAGACCGGCCAGATCCCCCAGCGCAGATGTTGGGGCCTGAGCACCACCTGTAATACAGGGAATAAAGATAAAAACCACCAAAAAAACTTAGCAATGAATTCAGAGTTCGAAGTTCAAGGTCAGCAACTAGCAGCAGTGTTCATTCAGTCTTCTAGTTTTGTTTAGAGTTTTAAGAAAAGAATTAGCACTCCATTAGGTAGAAAAAAAAGGTAGGGCATATGAAAAGAGACAAAAAGAAAGAAATAGGTACTATCAATAGCACCAACCCCCCCCCCCAAACCAACAGAATAATAATTTAAAAAAGAAACAAAAATCAAGCAACTGCCTCTACCATTATCCTGCTCCTAAGTATACATGTGTTATTTTTAAGTGGGATTCTGATGGCCTCCATTATTTCAACAGTGAAACGAACTTCACATGACAACTACAAAATGACACAGAGAGTTTTCTCCTACAATCCCATGGATCACATGGGTTTATTGTTTCAACAGATAAACCAAACTATTTCGGAAAACGTCTGCTATCACCATCATCATGAGTTGTGCCAGATACTTACCAGCAGCAGCTGCTGGAGCGGGTGAGCCCCATGGGTCGGCTTGGCCAGGAGCCGCGGCAGATGGTGGTGCCAGTTTGGCAAATGGAGATGTCGGAGGAGACACTGGCGATGTCGTCGGCTCTTCGCCAATCGAGTCAAACTCCAGATTTTTAATCTGCTCGATTCCCTAAAGAGGCAAAACAAAGAAACAAAAGTCGGAGTATAAGTAAAACTAAGCACATGGACACAACACAGGACATTTAGTGAGGGGGGAAAGAGGCCACGGACAGAAACAGCATAAGGAAAGGAAAGAGGGAAAGGGAGTAGTAGATTTGTCAGACTTTAGATCAGAAACTTTGAAACATTTATCTTTTGCAAGAAAGGTTTTTCATATTACCAAACATTGTTATGTATCTTTTCCGATAAATATGTGCTAAAAAGACAAAAAATATGTTCTCAACATAATTATCTTCATAAACATTTTTTTTCAAATAATCTTTATAGAGTGCCCCTATAGATTTTACATAAAAGAACAATAAAATGAATAAGTATTGCCAATATGTTAATTCATTCCAAATCCAATTTCTGGACTACAATTCCGTGCTTAAAAAAAATATATATACAGATGGCTTTCCAAACAGACCATTAAGTGAAAAAAAAAACAGTGCAAATCTTGCAAAAGATCTCTACCTGTCCTCTATATTTTCTTCTTCTGAGTAAAGAAGTATATATGTCCGATTTTTCGACAAGAACCCAGCACCCTCCACCTTTCTGGCAGGTATGGGACTTTTCTAATGTTTTCAACACTATATAAGGGGCTCAAAGCTATGGGCACGCATTAACTTTGACAGACGCAACAGCAGACCTGCTCCTTTTTTCCCCTTTTCCACAGTCAAAAAAATGTCTGATAACGAATATCCATCACTCCCAAAGTCTGCTCTAATCCAAAAAGGCCAGTAAAACAATCCCCACTATTCCTAAGACTAACAGTGCACAAACTCTGAGAAAAAAAAAAAGATCTAGCTGTCAACTGATCATGTCAGCATAAATGGGGCGTTGAACCAGCCACATGAGTATCAGAAACAAGATCCCTACTGAAATCTCTAGCCCCCTGCCCAATACATAATTAATCAATCATATGAACAAATATCTCGACATGGTTAAGACAGTGTGGACTCGTGACATGCTCAAAATTTAGAAATATTTACCATTACATTATGCTTTTTGCATACCCCATAATATCTTCATTAACTTTTTCCACAATGCACGACAGCTTCATTCTTTCTCTTGGTCTCGACAAACAATAAGAAATATAAACTTCGAGAAATAATGATTTAGTTAAAATGCTACATAGACAACTACTTATTCAAGGCTCTTAAAAATTGATTAATGAATTAATCACTCATTTATATTATCTTCAGGGAAGGAGGGAAAAGATTTGCATGCTGTGTGCAGTTGAACAAAGTCCACATATTTCAAAATCTAATTTTAAAAACTGTAGATTCTTATTGAAGAGCGTTTTTCCAAACTTAGGTTTACTACACTAGTGCAAGTTATAAGATAATGACCATTATCATCTTTTCCAATAGACTAGCAAAGCTAATGCTCCTCTTGTCCCACAAATGCATTCTGAAAACCACTCCCGTTTGTTCTCCACAAAATAAAGGAAAGGAATGGCATTTGAGAAATTAATGTCTTACCACAGGTGGATGTCCTTTTTTCCAAACCTGAATAAATAACAGGTCTATTTGGAAAGCCACCCTTCAATTATAACAACTCAGATGAGACCAAAGTTGGATACAAAGGCAAAATAATAATAGGTCCTCCTTTAACACAGAACAAACCAGAGTCGAAAAGACTAATTTCTTAGAAAAAACAAGTACATTATATTTAATGGGGGTGGGGGGGGTCGTACAAACAAACCATTTGTAGTTGATAATAATATAAATTCAATATGTGAATAAAACTGACAATACATCAAAACTTTCAAAATTTCAGCATAGAATAGCTATGATAGGTAATCCTACTTCCTTACTTTTTGCTTTGCTGATTCTGTCTATTCTACAACTTTTTCTCCCCTTTACCATTTTAACCCGGTGGTGTTCTCAAACATACTTGGCTTTAAATAAACCCATTCCAACCTAGCTATTGAGTGAGATTCTTTTCTGGACATGTTCACTTTAAAGGGCAATTCTAGAGCTTTGTGTAACCAGACCTTTGCCTCAATTCGAACACACAAATGCAATTTCAAAATTCAGTGTCCAAGTAGATCTTTTTAAATAACAGAAAAGATGATAATCAGGACAGTGTTTGTACACTGGAAGCGAATATGTTGTAGGTGATATCTTTAAAATTCATATTAAAACTATATATTATTGAAATGATCAGTATTATTAAATAACATAGGAAACCATTATGGATAAATACAATACACACAGAATAGTTACATGCACTACGTTTTAAAAGAAAATAATATAGGGTGCTGAACACAGTGTGTGTATATGTCAGTGTGAGTATATATGTGTACGTGTGTGAGAAATGTGTGAACAAGTGTGAGTCTGTGTGTGTGCGTGTGTGCTTGCAAGTCTGTGTATTTGTGTGTGTATGTTCTTGCAAGTCTGTATATTTGTGTGTGTATGTTCTTGCAAGTCTGTATATTTGTGTGTGTGTATATTTGTGTGTGTGTGTGTGTGTGCTTGCAAGTCTGTGTATTTGTGTGTGTATGTTCTTGCAAGTCTGTATATTTGTGTGTGTGTATATTTGTGTGTGTGTGTGTATGCGTGGTGGAGTGGAGCAAAAAGTATAGCGAACTACATGCCGAAATAAAATATACTCTCTGTGCTTTATATTCATGCAAGTAACTGAGGGTACAAACATTACTGGTGTGAGCTGGGACACTTCAGAAGGCATGACTCACACAAAGCTACGCACATTTTAAAAAAAAGCTTTCTAAAAAATAATATTTGCAGGTGACCGTGTGACATTTGCGAGAGACTATGTAGCAAAATTAGCACTTGTTTTTTTCTTTCAGAACATGTCAAAAGAAAAGTTTCTGTTTTCTAGGTTGAGGCAATTAATTTTGAAAAAAAAAACCCATCTTCAATCATTTCTTCACAGCGTCTCTGGTTAAAGATTTGAAGGAACTTGACTTACAAACAAAAAAATTGTAAATATAGGAAGAAATCGAACATATATGTAATCATTTATTCTCCATTAATACAAATCGGACATTATTCTCTTCTATTCCTTTAACTTCTACACATTTCAACTGTCCCAAACCATTCACACTCTATATTCATGCGTGACTTTACACTTACAGATTCAACAAGACACCTTATATGAAAAACTAAATCATGAGGCACATTTTCTTTGTAAAGCTCAAGGTAAACAAATAGACTACTCACCTTTAAAGCAAACCTTTAGAAGCATACAGTTCTGACTCTTCTTCCATGATATATCTACTACTCTGCGTCAATACTTACATTAACAAGAATTACCTACAAAGTAGTCGTTCTTCAGACACAGTTAAAAACCTGTCTTTGAAAAAGTTGGAAAAGGCTTATTCGGGAAAAAGGGACCATTTCTTTTTAAGAAGAAAAAAGATTTTTCTCCAACCCACTTTGAGAATGTGTTCCGCTTGATCCTCTAGGTCCAACAAATTGGCAACCTCCTCTGCCTGAGCTGCAGGGTTTACTGGGGCATTGTTTGGGGGCACCTGCACACATCGACGACATACAATTACAGAGTAAACAGCATACAATTCAAGCAAGAGCTTTCATTTGAAAAGAAGAGACACCAACAGTTCCACAAGAAATGAGCTCTATCTGATAGGATAAAAAAAGTTTTTGGGAGAAATTATTCAGCAAAGAAGGTGAGAAGTATATTGTAGCTTTCTACGAATTGAGGAAGAAGTCCATATACGCATAAAATATATATCTATGTTATGTATAATATGCGGTGTAAAGTGCAAAGAGGACAGCAACGTAAACTTAAATGCTTTCATAAATGTCTGAAAGGTAATCTTTTAGCAGCAGAACATGCCTCGATCAAAGCAAAGATGTAAGTAGATTTACTATGGTGGGCCAAACGTTTTTAAAATGCTTTTACACGTCTGCATAAACAATAAAGAAGTCAGTTAATTCAAAGCATGCACGATAAGCTGCGATAACATGTATACAGTTCTGCGAAGAGAAGATAAAATGCTTCTTAATACATACATGCACTTTTCTGAAATGTTGCATCAAAAGAGTTAACACTTAAAGTCGAAAGGGTCCTAAGGGTGTTAATTTTGGAAAAACAGGACCATCTAAAGCCATACAAAAAGAACCTGTAGGTAATTTGAGTATTAAATGAGCAAAGACATGCTCACACGACACACAGGCTAAACACAACTAACAACTGACTGAGCCTAGGGAATACAAATGTAAATATTTGTTCCGAGAAGTTATCAACATGCCATTCTCCTCTAAAAGTGAAGGCCGTTTCAACACACTTTCCCAAACCAAGGAACATGAGTTCAAGACCTTCGTCGACAACATGGCTTTGACAAAATTTTGTTTTAAGAAAAAAGACGAAAGAACCTTAATGCACTGCTGCAGTTCACAAGTAAGAACGAATGGGAGGGGAAAAAAATACAGCAAAACAGTGCAATAATTACTTTTAACAAATACTACTAGAAGAGAGCATTCTTTGAACATAATAGGTCAAGAAAAAATTGCTATTGCTTTGAACTTCAAATAATAAAAAGATCTTGCAAAAATTTTATAATTTTTAAGAATCAAGAAAAGCCAAACTTGGCATGATTAATATACCTGGTAAATATTTTCAGCATCAGCACTCTGAGTCTGGGGGGTCTGTCGCAAAAGGGAATAAATAAACATTTCAGGTGCAAATAATTAGAAGCATTATCGCTGTACCAAACACACAAAAAGCAAGGTAACACAAATATGTATAAGCAATTCTAAAAATAAACAACGAAAGGAGAAAACCACTCATCCTTTCATATAATACAGATTCATTTCACTACGCCTTACAACAGCTAAAAAAGTAGAAGATGCACAAAAAGCATTAATGTTAAAGACAACAAATAGTAAGGCTTGAACAGCTACAGGACAAGATATCAATTACTAAAACAATCTACGCCACCACAAGTGACAAACTGCTGTTGTTGCCACAAATGGACTAAATTACAAACCAGTGAAAATGAGAAAGTACTGTTATCCCTTCCACTAAACTGCTCTTGTTTTTGTTGTGTTAAGTGTTTTACGGCGCTCACAACTGCAGAAAGTCATATATAAGCGCGTGGCATTTTCAGTTTGGCAGGAATTATTCCAAACTGCTCTGATTTTATATTCATAATTTTTAAAAAACACAACGAAAGGTGGCCAATTTTTAAAAGCTTACTGTTCTTGTGAGGCCAACAATGTAGCACTGACAACAGGGATTTTTTTTAAAGTTCCAACACAAGTAAAAATTGTGTGATGTTTTACACTCCTTTCAACACAGTACAGTTATTTCAGAGACGTGCAAGCCGTTACGAGTTCACCACACACCTAAATGTACAGTAAAGTATCGCACACAGGAATTTTCAGTCAGATATTTTTCTGTTTTGCATTAAGCCTTTTGAGCATCGGAGGAATCCAGTGCTTAGATTATAATAAATTACTAGGTTGAAGTAAAACATTTCCTCAGTTTTCCCATCAGGATGCAAGGGCCTAACCTTAAAAAAACTCCTGTATTGCAAAGAAGCAACAGCAAAGTTTCATCTTGAAAACATGAGATCTCTCAAGGTGTCAATAGCAAGATCTAGATCAAATGTCTATAAATCGACATCATCTGGTTAGAAAAATATGTATGTGATGTTAATTTTGTTGAGCGCACTTTCTGCACATTAGTGAAGTTAATTTTTTTTTTTAAGATTATAACGTATAAGCATGTAGTGCTGTACTCAGTTATGCAATAATTGTTTTCAAATTAAATAGTGTTGATATTAGATCTAGTATCAGTCTGCCCATCTTCCTCTGCTCCAGTGAGTCAGTCACAAGTCAGTCTACCGACTCAGTATATACTGGTGCCCAACTCACTGTTAGGAAGATTCTAATAAAACCCGGCCAAAAGAGTCGTTCCTAAAAACGTAACCTAGAGTCTACAGCAGCTAGGAAATCGACCAACAATTGACACGTGATGTGTCTGGCAGCCTCGTCACAAAAGCAGGGTGACATCTTTACTCATTTGATGCTGTCAAATCAATGACAACAGACTCTATTATAAGTAAGCAGGGACAAAGCTTTTATACTGACAACAAATGCTTCAGACAACTAGCGTGTAATAGTCAGCAGGTTAAGAAATCTCTGTCTCCTCACCTGCCCAGTCCCCGAGGTCGACCCATCCCCCGAGGGCTGCGAGTTTTCCAGATTTTCTGTTTCAACCGATATTTCCCCTTTCTCAATCTTCTCCTTGGCCTCTTCCACTTCTTTCTTCTTCATCTCGTACACCACTTGGAAGAGATCCCTCAGTGCTAAAACTAACTGCTCAGCCTGGGGAACATTACAGGGGGGGAGGGGGGGGAGAGGGGGGGATATAATCACATTACAACATCAAACTTGAGTTTATATGACAAGAAAAGATAGTAAAAAAATTCAACAAACATCACTGAAAGTGTAAATACTTAGGACTTTGGGGGAAAAATGCCATCACGGAATAGACTTTAGACATTTAAGAAAGAAGATGATCAGGAAAAACTTTCAATGATTTTGAAAATACAGCGTGCAAAATCTCTTATTATCAATCAGAGAATCAGCTGGTTATGCATCGCAACAAATACATATATATCCCAGCAGTTCCCAATTTTATGTTAAGTCAGCATCACACAAAAGAGCTCCTCTAGTGAATTTTCTCAGGTGACACTGATGTACGGTCAGGACTTGGGAGAAAATCTAGGCATCCTCCCAATAAAGGTTAAAAACAAACTATATGGCATACCGCAGCAGCTGTCTTGATGGCGAAAAATTTGTGCGACCCATCTCCCTCTCCGAAGATATACCCAAAAGCACGGTTGTCGACTGTGTCTCTCGATATGAAGGAAATTCTATGGACTGGGTGAGTGTGCAGAACAAGCTGGAAAAAAGTATATTCAGTACTCAACATCATCATCATCAAGTGCCAGATCTGCGGCAGACAGTGGCAATCATGGTTCTCCATTCATTCCTTTGCTAATGTATGTAATAATACTTCTTCAATTGGAAAAAAAACAACTGGAAAAGTTTTTTTCAACTCAACACAAACAACAAAAATAGTAAGGGAATACCTGACAGAACAGTAATCTACATGTGTCTTACATGGTCATTTCTTCCCCACGGAAATTTTATGAGCATGCACAGTCCGCATTCCAAGTCAGTCCACGAAACCAACAACACTATATTCAACATGACACAGCACATTTAAAGACATGAGGCATGAGTGGACAACATTAATGCTTTAATGCTCAGCTAAATGGTTTGAGTAGTACAAAGCAGTTGGTCAATAGGGTAATCCCCCCCCCCCCCCCAATCCCCCAAAGAAAAAGGAGAATTCTCAAAAGGACAGAGGAGGTTGCCCATCTCTGGCTTAAATATAAAGCTCAGACAGTTTCTGGGCTACGGCAAAAACTACCCACAAAAGGAAAGTCGGGAATGTTATTGGAACTTTGTAATCATGATTATGATTAAATCAACAAAATTAAAGTCCTATTTAGACATACTATGCACAGAAACAATTACAAACCAGTGAAATGTCCTCCCCTTCACGAACTCTTATACTAGTGTTTCATTTTGACTAATTGTACCTTCAGAATGACAGGGTTTTAACTCCATCACACTCAAAGATTCACACTTTTACGGCTAAAATGTTTGTACACCTTATTTTTGCTAAGCATCAAACTTTTAAAAAACCACAGGTAAGAATTGCCACCCGTATTTGACACACTGAGCAGGGCATCTATGTTAGTACTATGTAGTATGTAACTCATGAAGTCCTCTCAAAAAGTGGATTAGAACAATGTCATTCTCATGGCATGTAATATTCCACATCACAATGGTAAATAAAACTGGTCACGGAGAGGTCACTGAAAACATGGCTCAAATTTCAAAACAGTTTGAGTTGTATCTAATTTGTTGAAGCTAACAGTTAATACTTTCTCAACAGATGGGAGATTTAGTCCAGACAGCCCAGCTGTAGATCTACCTTCTCTTCTGTTGGCATGATAGCATTTACATATCATCAGTCGCTAGGAATACTAAAAGTAGAAGGAGCAGACATGCCTGCCAACCAACCCTTGCCCACTCGGGTTGCCAATTCACGATACGAGACAAATACCATGACATGTCAGAAACATTTAAAAATCAAATAAAAATTTTAAATACTAGGCCAAAAAAACAAACAACAAAAAATTTTTTAAAAAGAAAACCGAATGGGAAAGGTGGGTGAATTAGGACAGTAACATACCTCTATATTTTCTAAGGGAAAAAAGAAGGCGGAAAGGAGCCAAACTGATCATAGTATAACCAAGAACACAATGAACTTAATGTAGTGTATTTTAGATGTTACAGTATTAAAACCATGAAGGATTCTGCAGTGCACTGGTTCTGACTGCACTGACACACTCATCAAGTCATGTAAATTGCATTCTGACGCTCACTTTTAAAGGTCGAATATATATACAGGTCAAATCAAAATATCTTCATCAAGTTGTGGCCACAATGCCCTGATCGGGAAAAAATTAAAATTAATCCATTAGAGCCCTTACTCAACATAATCTTGTGAATGTCTTCAACCAAAAATAAGTAAATAACAAAAGCATTAGAAGCAAATTGGGATCAGAAATTAAAAATGAACAAAGAACCAAAACAAAACCACAAAAGGGAAAAGCAAACAAACTCATGATAAAATACTTTCAATACCAGAACGAAACCAAAACAAATATACACAGCCGAATCTGCTCTAAAGACTTCCTATCCAAGACAACGCCCCCTACCCACCTGCATTTCTAACTATAACATAAATAATATGGACACTACTGTCCAACAGGACCATCTGTCTTAAATCTCTTTGTTTTTTGTTTGTTTGGGTTTTTAAAAAATTATGTTCTTTACACCCCATTCAACACAATTTAGGTCCTTTAGGGTGTGAGCTTCAACCCTGCCTGTCAGGGCTAACCCAAGCTGAGAGGGATACAGTATTCCAGCAGAAAGACCTTGGTACTTGATATAAATTCTCACAACATGGGAATTGAACTCAGTTCTTCAGCGAGCCACAGCAATGCATCTAACTACTACATCACAGATGCTGGACATGTCTAAGATGACCATTTTTCTCCTCGACAATGGGCGGTTGTCTTGGACTGGTTAAACTGTATTATACACAAACCCTTACACAGCTCCTCATTTTAAATCAGAAATGTATGTGACTATTTCAACCAGACAAAAGCACTTCCCTACATAGATACTGTAGTACAATAATATATCTTCCTTGTTCAGAGAAAAAGACTAAAATTACAAACAAAGCACACATTGAGCCTACCAATTCCTCCTCTTTTTTAGTCCCATCATTCTCTTTCTCTTTCTCTTCATTCGTCTTAGCATTTTTTGGCTCATTCTTTTTCTTGTTTTGGTTTGACGCCTGAAAATAAGCATGATGAGGGTAGGGAACTGTGATCAAACAGGAGGGAAGGGCACCAGGTAAAGGAAAAACAAAAAACAGGGGCATTCTATGAAAATTGGGGGAAAAAGTGCTGTGGCGACAACACACATATACAACATGACATAGAAAATAAGCCTGTGCTTTGTCTTACACAACAGGAGAATTTTAAAAACTGATACCAAAATTTGCATCCCCTACCACTTTTCATATCGGGAAAAGAATAAGCTTTCTTTAAGAGGAAAGCTAAAATAAATAATATAATATATACTTCATCTGAACCCCCCCACCCCCCACCCCCAACAAAAATTTAAAATTTTAAGAATCTGAAGTAGTGTTCTCAGTCACATAAGTCTTATTTTGACAAGCTGCAAGACAAGCCATAGACATGTCATCACTAACCTTGTGTGTACAGTCTTTATTCTTGTTCAAATAGACTGTCACAGTTAGCACTGGACAATTTACATAAAGATTCAGATGCAAAGTTGTCTTTTTTTTTTTTTCCTTCTGAGCTAAATATAAGACACAAATGAGGAATAGTTTATAGCAACTTACCATTGAAATTTTCACTTAACCTTCTTTTTTTGTGTATGTTTTTTTCTTTTTTGTTTGTTCTCTTATCTTTCAAAACAGCACATTCTTCTCCATGACACCCATGTCCCCACATGTCAAAAGGTTTTGATCCCGACTTTAAATAGATTCGGAAAAAAATGTTTAAACCCATAAAATTATTATCAACTTGGTTTGATTACTTTATTCAGACTCAAACTTACTTGAAGTGGGCATTTCTCTTCACAAACATAATCAAGGATAAGCTAGATTTTAAGATTGACGAACATACTTCAGATCACTTGACTTTCACAAAATTAGAGTTCACATTACAAAATGTTTGCTTTACTTCACAAAATAGTTTGCGTCTCCAGAACACCCCTTCCGGTTCATTTCAAAAGATCTGTTTCATTAAAAGTAGAATTTCTCATTTGAAATACAAGACTCTAAAGAAGGAATATGACATTAATTTCTTGAAGCATGAAAATAGATACCAAAAAAAAACCCCAAAACAAAAGCAAATTCAATATGTATACCACAAAGTCTTCGGATAATACATGATGACCATTTGAAAAAGTTTCTTATAACTGTAATGAATAATCAAATGGGTCAGCTGGCCAATTTTTAAGGAACAAAATATAATAAATGGGTGGATAAAATCAAAAGCACTTTTGGCTGTTAAAAAAAAGGAACAAAAGGAACAAAAGGAACAAAAGGAACAAACATACACTCTTAATAAATACGATCAGGGACATGAATGGTGAGAGTTAGAATGTAATCATTTTGTTAGCTGGTGACAACTGCCCACCGTGAAATGCACGGATTTTCGGCCATATTTTTTTCCCTTCTTCCATTTTCAAACAGCAGCTATATGTATCCTCATTACATGATAATAAATCAATTACAATTACATGAGAGCAACAATTGAGTATTCCTATGTTTGATACTATACTTTCAGCAAACTTATCATTGGTTTAAAAAAAGGAAGAAAGGAAAACTGAACAAGGCCAGTAGGCAAAAAGAAAAAACTCACATGAGGTTTAAACTTTTTAGAAGAAACATCACTCAGAAGTTTTGATTCAGTATCATGAGGCTGCAACGTGTTGATACAAATGTAAACATTGTTCAAAAGTAATTACATGTCAGCATTCCGGAGATCAACTAAGACAATTGCCATCCACAGCAAAACAGAATAATTACTTTCCAGGAAAAAAAAAAACAACAAAGAAAGAAATAAACATTCAACACAACATCGGTCTACACATGAAAACAGGATAGCAATCATCAGCTCTCGATTCCTGTAATACTCTTAGAGAAACAAGTAGAAATTCAATAATAATCATTCTCGTCGATCATCAAGGAAGGCACAATCATTTTTTCTCAATGCTTCTTGATCAACAAAGAACCAAGCGTAAACAGAAATCAAGAAAGCCTTCACAATTCAAACCAATCTTATATTTTCATTTTTTCCCCGCTGTTGATTTACAAATCATAGTAGAATATAATTCTTCTTTCTTTGAGCTATAATCCCCAGTCGGAATGTAGGAAGTTCAAATAAAGAGAGCAATTATCAAGCAAAAGTATTCATTATTTCGCAATGCTAGGATGAGAATTCACAGAGTTCATTGTTAAAACGGATGGCATGGCAAATTACTGAGAGACACAAGTTGTTTTTGAGAGTACTAAACAGACAGCTGAAAACCCATACATAATTCATATACAGGTGTCTTTTCTTTGTCACTAAAAGTGAGGAAAACGGCCAAAGGGACAGAAAGGGGGTATTATGTCCAATAATTATCAGTTCTGAAATTTGTAACGGAGTGGAAAGCATTCCTTCGACTACTCATGCACATTGGTGCTGATGGAGGTGGCAGTTGAGGAAGATGGGGAATGTGTGGACAATCTGTGCAGTGTGCCCTCAGGGATTGGTCGTGCGCTGTGACTGAGCTGACAAAGTGTCTTTACTTGAGACAGCACAAGAATGTTTTAGTCCAGTGTAACTCAAACAAATATCCTTCATGGAAAATGTTTGAGTCCTATTATTCTCACCTACAATGTTGTAACTCAAGACAGGTATAGAACGTTGACTTGAAAAAAGTATGTGTTATCAAGTTCCCAGACCATGGTCTGGCAGTAGAATCAAACCGAAATAATTGACTGGCAAAAAACTTGAAAAGTTGGGAAGAGCCACATCTGGATTTTTACATTTAACATGATGTGAACATATCGTCATTGCAGTTCGCTATCTGTGTTTGGAACAAAATTTGAAAACTCCAGTCTTAACACATTTGATCTAAGTACAATCTTAAAAATCAGCTCTCACATTTTAATTTGCATCAAAAATTCATATAAAGTATAAAAATCAAGAGGCTAAAAGGCATATTAGACAAATAAAAAAGTTTTTTCACATTTTCTCGAAAGTATCCGAATGTTCCATACATGGACAGCAAAATGCACTGACAATAAGCAAAAGTAGTATTCTCAAGAAAAGTCAGAAAACCTACCTAGGTTCCATTGTGTATATTATTGGTTTGCCAATACATGATAAAGTTTAACACTCAGTCTCCTTCAAAGTAACTTAATCTCTAAATTTCCGACGGTTATGTTCCATCAAAATTATTGTGGCCATCTGAGTTCAAGGCAACACTTGCCATACATCCGTGTTTTCACCAGGTAAGAGTGACACAAGATGCCACTAGCACACATAGACAGAAAATATAGTGCAAAAACATTTGAATGTAAGTCTCCATCATCTATAAACTGCAGTATACATATATATATATATAATATAAATTTTATCTCCCCAGACCAATCTACCACATGAATAACTCATGGTCAAAAACTTATGACCCATGCCACTGACACAGAGAAGAAAAAAAAAAAATTTAACGATTTGTAAGTGGACAAAGGTGCAATTCCACTTAATTACGGGACTAGCTTCAAGGCATACTCACCAGAGAGATTGCATCAATAATTTTCAACCCTTCCAACGTGACGTTGACAAATATTTTCTGTTTGTGCTGGCCAGATATTTTCACAGAGTTTTTCAGTTTCGTAATGGCCTCCTGGCACATCTGATCCCCGCGAGCCTCTGGAACGGTCTCGACACCGATGAGCTTTGCCTTGTAGCTGATCCCAGTCCCTTCAAACCTTGAGGGATCATTTTGACCTGCACATGAAAACATGCACGGTGTTTAACAGCATGACAGTTGACAACATCTTTTTTTTTATTTAAAAAAAATAATTTTTAATCAGTTTGCTTTCAAACATTGAGAAGATCCCAGTTTACAGAAAGATAAATTGAGACAAAGAAATGAAAGGTAAACCAGTATGAAATTCGGGTCAAAGGGGGATCTTTTGACAGTTAAATTAATCAAATTTTTAGCCTCCCCTGTAAAAGAGGCTTCTCAGGATGTCCATATATGCCAAACAATTTTGATATAAGAGCATACTTCGTTTTGTTTTAGTAAGTGTTTTATGGCACTTGCAAAACAATAAGGTCATATAAGTGCCGAAGATTAGAGGCGTTACAAGAGAGTAACAAAAACAAAAAAACAAAAAAGGAGGGGAGATAAAGATGATAGATGTTTGAAGGGAAAGAAGGAGCAAACCACATCAGAGTACCCACTAACCACCGACTAAATGTACTTCAGCACAGCAACAAAAATCAAAATGTACTTCTTTAAAACCACTGTAGTTACGCCTCACACTACTTGGTTTGGGGTCCACCACACACATTTCAACAAACAATTCCCTTTTATCCAAACTCTCAGAAATATATTTTTCGACTCCAAGAAAAAAAATCTCTTACCTTTTTTAGCTTTTGTAGTCATTTTGAAAGACTGTTGTTGGCAAACCTTCACTCAAAATCTGCAAGAACAAACAAAAACTATTTGTCAGGCATATCAGTACAAAAAAAAGGGGGTTTTTCAGATCAGGGGCACTATAAAAGTACCCTAAACACATAGCCTAAACAAAAATTCTAATCTTCATCTCCAATATACTAAAACTAAAAACTGCAGACAGACCCTGTGCAGTTTAATTTGTCAGAAAAAAACTTCCCCATCCACTGCTAAATGAGTACTCTAGAGAAATCTACAGTAGCACATTAGAAAACAAAAATAAATACCAAAAACAATCCCCTACCCCCCCTAAAATCAGAAGTACACATATAATTAACGAAAATAGTGGTGCCTAACCTGCCATTGCAAACAGCTGGCTCTGCCACATAGAGCTACCGTGTTATATCAAAAAAGGCCAGACTAACCTGCCCCTGAGGCATATATATAAGTATCAATAGCTTTACACTTAAAGAAACCCTGGACTCATACAATATACAATATCTCCTTCTCTAGTCACTATCTGAAACACTTAGGCACATTGGCGAGTGACATAATTCTTCCTGTCACGGTATGAGCAGAGAAAATTTGTTGCATAATGTTCCACTTGGCTGCTACTTCAGTGTGATGCTGCTCTCTGGTGTATTGTATATCACACACAGATAACAGACAAGACCCCGCCACGTTGACATACATTTGGCGGAGATAACTCAGAGATGTAAGAGGACGTAGGATAAAGATTCAATAAAAGAATGCTCATCATTATGAATACCAAATCATCAATATAAATACCATAATCACAGCCCTAATCAGAAAGATTATGATTATGATGTGAAGATACAAAAGCTTGGAGTAAACTTGTATGATAGCAATTTAATCTTTGATATTTTGACATGGTTGGTCTTAGCCATTGTACCAAAGTATCAAGGAAAGTTGGTGATCGGCTAATAAAGATTGCAGAAAATACATTTTTCAAAAGTTTTGATGCGTCACAGAAATCAGTCTTGCCTCAAACGCAGTCTTTGCAATGTACTTTTTTTTAAAGTGAGTTTCCCAAGCTATCTTTGTTCTGTAATAATTATAATGAAGAGAGTCTTCAGTCTTTTATAAGTGCTCATTTCTTTTGTATTTAGAAAATGTTTTCCAATTTTGTGTGTGCCACAGTTAAAACAAACAAATAGAGTCACAGTTATCTATTATAACACCTTTTCGTTTGGGAAGAAAAAATGAATTGACATTTTTTTTTATGCTGGCCACTTGCCCTACAAGTTAAAGACAGTTATCACTATGATTTTAGCTCAGACTGATAAGAATATATAACAATATAGGACAGAAAAACGAACAGCACCAAACTGGTTCCATCTAGATCAGATACAGCCTGTACCATTCTCCACAAACAAACAAAAAACTACAGGGCATGACAAGAATATAAAATGATCTGACATGCACACCAAAGATAAGATAATAAGCTCCTGGTGTGACACCCCCCCC